TGGGGAAGAAAATATCAAAAAGTTAAAAATCCAGAAATAGTCCTAATTTTATGATGGTTCCTTAATATATTTTAACTACATTGCATTTGAGTATGGAGAGGCAACTATCTGGAAGTATTTTACATAAAAAATTTACTAAGTATTGCCCGGTTTGTAGATGCAGTTAAAGAAAATACATGAAAAGGCACGATTTTTTTTAAATTCAAAAAAATTTAAATATTTCAAAAACGGTGACACTTTTACCTGAAATTTTTTTGTTTATCAGAGAGCTCACCCCCCCCCACCTACCTTCCCCTAAAGTTTGGCAGGTTACTTCTGGGACACCCTGTATAGACTGGTTATGTTTAACAAACGACATATAAAACCAAGTTTCAAACTTTGCACCAAACTTCAATATTCACAATCGACTCCACAATACAATATGCTTAGCTACTAGATCAGCAAACAAAAATTGAGTAGTTAATTTGAAGTTTGTGGTACGCCGTTTTCTGTTTAAAAGCAAAAAAACGATTAACACCTAAATTAAAAAAAGGCTGAAAAAGATTATTAACCTAATTTAAAAAAATCGGTTTTTGGAAACACCGATCTTATTTGAACATCCCTATCATAGAGTATCTGTACGAATCTTCATTAAGAACGTTTTAAATGAAGGCTCTCTACGAACTTGGAATTTACGTTCGTCGCTATTCGGATTCAGTAACAGCAATTTCGTAGATTTCACGAAAATCGAACCTACGATGGATACTGTGATAGCCCTGACTAACAATAAACAGAAAATGACGCATTGATTTTTGTATGAGAATTTCCAAGTTTTTATTTGTATAACTGATAAACACCTCCAGAATATATTAATTTATGCTCGCGCACTTTTCGTTGAAGGAAATTTTTTAGTTCATCCTGGGTAAATTCTATCCCAACCCCATGTGATGCAAACAATTTAAGCATCTGATGGATACGATCAAGCGGCAATGAGTCCAAATTTGTCAGCATTCCTACAATGTATGACCAAAATACCTGTAAAAAATTTAAAAAGTATTATTTATGGTATGAATTGAAAGGAACGAACATTTCTTTTATAAATTTAAGTCAAACTAGAGTAGATACATACTAATTATTAAAGTCAGTTGTAATAACTCTAGATTTATTTACATAGGCAAAAGAAGACATGCATTTTTAAAGGGAATGACGAAGAGCCCCCTTTATTAGAAGTTGCTCTTTATATGCTTAGGGCCGTTGTCTGAAGTAACCTTCAACTTTAAAGCTCACTTTATATTTAAAGGTTGGATTAAAAATAAAGCTATGTCTAAAGTTAAGCATTTCTATTATCGGTGTTTGACGTATGTGTGTTTCTTGGTTGTAAACCAATTTAATACCGATAATAAAATGCTTTACTTTAGACACAATCATAAATTTTAATGCAACCTTTAAAAATATAAAGTGAGCTTTAAAGTTACAGGTTACTTGAGAAAACGGTCCTTAGAATATGATCTCGCAGTTAAATATTCCGTTTAAAACGTTTAAAATGTTTCCGTTTGCAATAAAAAAAATGTTATTTAAAAGAGTTTAAGTACGCATTTGATGACGTACATATGTATATTAAGCTATCAGACCTTGGTCACGACGCACAACTCTAACCTATCGGATATTTAGTTGATAATTAGTTACCCAACCTGTAATTGCAACAAAATTAGCCTTATAAAAACTGAAACAATTAGCTGGCAATTGTAGCTAATTGGCAGCAAATTGTCGTAAAATTGCTCATGCAACCCTGTGAAGTGTGTTTAAAGAGAAGAGCAGAAACGAAATGTCAGAAAAATTAAATTATCCTTCTTATTTTTAATAAAAAAGGGAATCTGCAATCAAAACTTTAGTATATTAACTGGAAATGTTTAATATTTCTATTATATATACACCAATAAAATTGTATTAAAATCTCTCCATTTTATTCAGACCAAAGCAAATTGAACAAGTAATAGCCCCGCAAAATTTTGGACAAACAAAATAAAAACAGTCTCAGCCAACAACAACAACAACAGTCAACACCAAACCCAGTGACGCAATTCAAAGCTTAATTGCCTCTGCTAATTGGCCTGCTTGCTGGTAAATGCGCACTTCCACTCCGCTGCGCCTGGGTTCAAGCCCTGGTCAAAGCAACATCGAAAAAATATAGAAAAAAGGTTTTTTCTTAACAACGGCCGTCCCTCGGCAGCCAATGGCAAACCTCCGAGTGTATTTCTGCTTTGAAAAAACAGCTTCTAATAAAAATACAATCGCCGTTCGGAGTCGGCGTAAAACTGTAGGTCCCCCGCTTTGTGTGACAACATCAAGGCGCACGCCACAAAACGGAGGGGAAACTCGGTCAAATACTAACATATGAGTAAGCGCCTATCTGTTATTATTAATTGGTCTGCTTGAACATACTCCTACCGATTTAGTTGCTCATCATCAGGGCCGAAACAAATAAGCAAGAAGAAAGCTGTTTTAAGAGCTTAGATAAGCACTAAAACATTGATAAATATGCTTGCAAATATGCTCGAAGAACCACATGTTGTGTTTTTTATTAAAAATAAAATTACGCAGAGATAAGAATCATTAATTTCTTTACAAAACTGAATTAAGTTTTTTGAAATACTCCTTATTCTGCATCTAAGATGGTTTACATTTTTTTCGTTTTATCTTACCGTTTGTAAACATTTCTTTAGTTCGACGAAAACCATCGGAATCTTCATTGCTGGAACTTGGGAAATAGTCGAGAATCGAAGGATATCTGTAGCAATCCTTTTTGAAGTTTAAAGCGTCGTACGCATATATTTATCAATAGTTATCAAAACTCCATATAAAAGGTTTGAGAAATACTAAAAAAAAATTATTGAGCCAAATTTCTTAAACAGTGCGGAGTTCTTAAGAAGTTGGCTACGCTTTCTACTACGGATATTTAAAGTTTTTTGTGATCAAAGAGCACAAGGTAACCTATGTTTTCAACAGAAATATATGCCCGTTCCAACATTTAGTGAGGAAAGGGTGAGATTCCATTCCATGGGCTCGAAAACTTATGCACTAAAAAATCGAAAATATGCGCATATAATATGCACTCAATATTAAAAAATATGCGCCATAAACAAGTAAAATATGCAATTAAAATAAAAAACACATGTATTTTAACAAGAAAATAACGAAAACAAATCACTTAAAAACATAATACATATTTATGTATAAAATTAGTTTATAATCAAGCAGCCAGATAAAATTTTGTGTAAATAGAAACATTGAGGGTTTGAGAAAGTTTGCCATTTTGATTCCACAACTCGTGCAACCTGCAGCCATTTACCGGCTTTAATGAGTTTCAGTACGTCATACAGAGAGAGGCAACTTCACTCTAAAACATTCTGCAGGAATGGCTTGCAGAGTATCTCTAGAGATGCTAGCATCATCCTTGCAAGAGCTGGACACTCGCACAGGAAGTGTTCGACTGTCTCTTTTGAGCCAGAGTCATCCCAACTGCGACACCAATGGACCAGTGTCCTGAGCACACTGCAGTAAGTTAGTAAGTATCTTCGTTGTTCATTCGTTTGGTCTAAGTGGGTTGTAGGATGCCCAGAACTGCCGGGTAATCCTGTATGATCCTTTACGGTTCCACCTCTGCTTAGCCTTCGAGTGATACATTTCGGTAATTTTTGCTTTCATCTCCCTGAGCGAAGCGCCTATGTCCACCGCGTGGGACACATTCAGTACGGAGCCGCACCTTGCTAATTCGTCCGCTGCCATGTTGATCAGAAATATAGGCCAGATCTCTACTGCAGTCTTCCACTAGTTGAGATCTAATATAGGTAGGAGAGAAACTTCAAAATGCATCTTGTGGTTCAATGTTACTTCAACTATAGAGATTAATCAATGTTATTGTGGCTTGTTAACATTTTATTTTTAATATTTTTATTGAGCTTTGTACCACGATTGTTTATTAGGAAAAATTGAAAAAGCAACAAAGTCTAAGCGGTAGAAGTTATAGCACTATTTCGGAGATCACCACATCTCCTCATCAGACTTCTTTTT